GGGCCCTCCTACCCCCCCCCCCAGGACCAGTGGGGGTTATCCTGGTCCATAAAAGCATGTACCTTAAGCCTAAATTGGCTGCGATTGATGAAGACAGACAACAGCACGAAACACAAAGTCAAGCGAACGCTCATAAAATGGCGGCCTCGGGCCACACTGCAGAGCATGCTTCCACCCAGCCTCTACACGAGCGTCTAGATGCTCTGCTCAGCCGGTTCTGGGAGAAGCTGGAGAGACAGAGGGCATGTCAAACCCTTAAACACCAAGAAGAGGTGAGGCAGACTCAGGCTGAAAGTCAGAGCGGGCAGACCCCGGGAAAAGCCGCCGCGCACCGTCAGGCGGAACTCCCATCCTGGCATGGGAACATTAGGAGACTCCCTCCTATCCACCGTCCACACCGCAGGAGAGCCGCCCGCCGCTGGCGGCGGAAAACCACCAGGGCCCTCCACTGCGCCCATCATGGGAAAGACCCGACCCCCAAGAGGCAACCGAGTCTGTGGCCACATGGTGCCAACCCCACATGATGCCGGGAATAAGGGAGAAGCCCCCAGCCGCAACCACCTCCACTCCTCGCTGACCCACCTGAAAACGCTGCCGGAACCTCCGCCCAGAGGGAGCCTGAGCGGCCTACACTTACCCAGTCGCACGAGCAGAGTCACCAGAACGGGTATAGGGTGAGGCAACTCGGACTCATGCAGGCCGCGGCCCGCAACCAACAACCCAGCCCACAACGCAGAGACTAAACTATTAACCAACTGATCTATAGACTCTAAAGCATGCCACCTACCATGGTATTCAGACCCAGCCATACGCAACACATACTTCATCCCTAACAAGGGAGTACACTCACCCGACACAGATAGCTGTACGCAAGCACCACACATAAGACCAACACCACCCTCGCCACCTGCATGGCGGTCACAACAGCTCACCACCGCACACATATATCGACACACTAGCCTGACCCCGAGAAGGTCCAGCACAGCAGACTCGGATAGTACAGCTCCATCCTCACAAACCACTATAGTGCCGCAGCATGCTTCCACACTATACCACACACCTGTGTTACTTTCATTGTCGTGCAATGTCTCAACCTACTCTTGCTTGTGAATGTTACCTAATGATTGGCAAAGGCACACCAGTTAACTCATGGTTTAACCTACTCGGTATTATACTGTTGGAATACTAAAATTACTACATGCACTGTTAATTTAGCATGTTACATAATGGTTCTTATAATCGATAGCCTGAATTTCCATGCTACAGTTTAAACTTTAACACTAAGGCATTGATACCCTGGAAATGATACGAAATGAGTCCTCATAAGCCGCTGATAGGTCTACTCTGCACAGCTACGTTTACACATATTTTGTTGGCTACCTTGAAATCGCATGTTTATTATCTACATAGTGTATCAGCAGGTTACTTCGCAATGTATTAACGAATGTCTAGGTGAATAGCATGACGGTATTAGCACTGTATATATGTTTACTGCAGGGCTCCAAGTGTGGCTCCAGTATTATGTTAGTAACTTAACATAACCATTGTTTGCTTACCTTCAAAATGCTTTATATATGTTCTCGCTAATCGACTTACCAAAAAATGTGGCAATACTAAACAAGGAAATGTATCTACCTAAAGCTAACGATGTATTGACCCCACCCTGTGAACAAACCGTACACTTCCCTTTTCTTTCTTATGTATCCCATCTCATATGCCGCAATAAAACAAAGATTGACAAAAAAAAAATCCCCGTCTCAGGATATCAAGTGATGGTATAATGCGGTATCCAATCCTCCACAGTGGTATATGGAAAGATAAAAATAGAAATAAAATCCAATAGTGTAGTATATCTATTAAAAAGTGTGCAAATAAAGGAAAAGTATCCTACTTACAAATTTCAGAGCAAATATCTTGCTCTGGTATAGACAGCATGTGGTGGTATGATCCCCACCAAAGGATATAAATCAGGATTGAAGGTTTTATACATTCCTAATTAGAGGACTCTCTGTATGTATATATTTTAATTATTATTTGCACTGTTTGGGCGCGGTTTACCACTTTTGTCTCTTCTGTTTTACTACTGTGAGCAGGTATTGGGAATTCCTGCTTGGTTCACTGCTGCCCACCTTTAGTTTATTTAGTGAGCGCCTAACTCCTCTTTGTTGTGAATATACATATATACACATACACATACATACACTGCTGTGTGTGTGTGTGTGTGTGCTGCATGAGGGTGGTTTGAGGGTGTTGTATGTGTGTAAGGGTGCTGTGTGTGTGTGTGTGTGTGTGTGTAAGGGTGCCGTGTGTGTGTGTGTGTAAGGGTGCTGTGTGTGAGGGTGCTGTTAGTGTGATGTGTGTGAGGGTGCTGTTTGTGTGCTGTGTGTGTGTGTGTGTGTGTTTGTTAGGATCCTGTTAGTGTGCTGTGTGTGGGTGCTGTGTGTGTGCTGTGTGTTTGAGGGTGCTGTATGTGTGTGAGGGTGCTGTGTGTGTGTGGGTGCTGTATGTGTATGAAGGTGCTATTTGTGTGTGGGTGCTGTATGTGTGAAGGTGCTGTATGTGTGTGCTGTCTGTGTGTGTGTGTGTGTGCTGTATGTGTGTGTGTGCTGTATGTGTGTGAGGGTGCTGTATGTGTGTGGGTGCTGTATGCGTGTGTGCTGTATGTGTGTGGGTGATTGTGGGGGTTGGAGGTGGGGGTACATTACTTAATATCCCCCCTCCCTTCTTACCTTATGTAGGGAGGAGGGATCCTTATTCCTGCTGCTTTCCCTGGTGGTCCAGTGGAGAGTGAACTCTAGCCCCTGTGGGGATAGAGTTCAATCTCGCGAGAGGAACCCGGCATAGCTGCTGGTTGAGCTCCCCGGGTCCTTTCCTGCCTAACTCCATGCTGCAGTGGGGAGGAAGGCTGAGAGCAGAGCCGGCGCTCGAATAGCGCTGGCTCTGCATGAGCCGACAGGGGAGATTCTGAGATCTCCCCTGCCGGTCTCACTCCATAGGCGTGTCGCGGGGATTAGGGTGTGCCTAGGCACACCCCGTGCGCACGCCTATGATACAGACTTTCGCTATGCTTTTGGTATAGCCCATGATTTTGGCCCTATATGGCAGGCTTGTGATTTTCTCACCTCAGCAGGAATTCCATTCAAGAATTCTGAAGCCGTGAGTGCACTTATGGACGCTATCCTGCTACCTACTCAAGTAGGCATCATCAAGGTGGCAGCTCACGTGAAGATCACAGATGAAATCTCAAGAAAAAACCACAAAGCAGACAAAGCTGCCAAGCAAGCAGCAATTCAAGTTCATCCCTCTACAGGTACCTTCCTACAAGTTGTTCTTACAGATGACGCCGTTGACTACAATATACTGTTGAGCTTACAAAGACAGGCAAGCAAGGAAGAACATGACCTCTGGAGGAAACAAGATGCAGAACCTGATGACAGAATGTGGAGGAAAGGTAAAAGACTGTGTTTGCCACGAGTGTTGTACCCCATGATGGCCCAGATTGCCCATGGACCTACACATCTATCCAAGATGCACATGAACAGCATAGTAAACACCCATTGGGTAGCACTGGTATTTACTGTTGTAGCTGCTAAACACACCCAAGATTGCATGATTTGTGCTAGAAACAATCCAGGACAGGCTGTCCAAACACCAAGTAAGCACACACCAAGGCCACTTTACCCGTTTCAAAGACTGCAGATAGACTATATTCAACTACCTTTTAATTTAACCTCCTTTTGCCTCAACCCTCTCCTCAGTACTGAAAACGCCATAGAATCTTGTCTTATAGCTGTCCCTACCCCCAATCTCAATGTTGAGGAAGTACCTACATACCCATAGACTCCATAAATCTCTACAACTATATTCTTGTGCCTTCAACCCACTGGTAGGCAAGCCTCCCCTAGCCCTGAAGACAATTAATGTGACAGGCGCTGAACTATGTTGGTCTTTTTCATATAATTGTTCAAGACACCCTGATACTGAATCCCTGTTTTGTGGAAAAATACCACGAATTGTAGAGCCCTGAGCACCACTATGAATTGTACCAAAACTCACCAAGTTATGAGTTACCACTACAATATCTATCTCCCTAAAGGATGGACTTTCTCCTGTGGAAATATTACTTATGCTTATGTCCCAGGTAACATTATAGGAGGTCCCTGTGCAATCTCTCGCCTAACCATGACCATGTTTTCCAAATCTGACCTGATCACTAAAACCACCCAGCTACACAAATTGCTGAGAGACAGGAGAGATGTTAAAAACACCCTTAATGCAGATTGTAACCCTGAAATCACTCTCTTATCTAAAGCCGAATACTCTGCCCTAGCGTACACCTTGGTAGCACTGTATAATACCTGAGTAGTTAATGCTGTAGCCTGCTCTCTTGCAAAAAATCAGACCATGGCACTATGATCCATAAACATATAAAAGATTTACATGATTTAGTACAGGATATCAAACAGGATCATGGCTTCTTTGGGGATTGGGATTGGACATTTGGGCTAGGAACATGGTTGACTTTATTTATTAAGAAAATTTTGTACTTTTTGCTATTAGCTGTATTTGTCATTATGGCCATTTTTCTAACCTTTAGATTTTTTTCATGTCTACTAACCTCTCTATGTAAAAACAAACCTACTATTGGTCGTACCTTAACTTACATTCCAGCAATAACTTCGGAAAGCTTTTATGATGTTACCTCGCCTAACAAATGAAGGAACTCTCCTCCGCTGATTCTGGTGGTCTCTCAGTCCAAGGGAACCGTGGTGAAGCAATAAATGAAAGCCCCTCAGGCTTTGGCTAGCAGGCCTGTAAATACCTTGGACATTTGGGTGACCCTTGGATCAAAATAGGGGATTGTGATAGAATTTATCTTGATTCCAAGGCTCAAGCTTATAGGTGTCATATAATGATATCCTATATTAAAATTCAAGGATTTTACAATTATCATGACGGAAAGTCATGATTTTATTAAAGACACGGAGGCTCCTATTATGCTGCACTCTTTCTTTATTTCCCTCAGCATCAAAGAAACATTATTGAAAAAGAACATTCAAAGCAGGTATAAACATCATATAGGCAATGTCCGCCTAGCAACATGACCATCCAATCAGTGACATCCTTCCCATATAGTAGGCGGAGCGTTGATGACCATTTCCTCTTTCTTGCGACTCCCGAAGAAAACTCAAACTCGGAACAGGAAAACCAAGTAAATAAAACGAGCCGTAACAAGGCATGTGATTCCAGAAGGTCTTTCAACCAGGTCACGCTAAAGAAAGAATAAAATATGGTAATTTCTTGAAAGTTTTGGATTGTCCACATATATATAGGTCCAAATGACTGACTAAACAGTGTAAACCTTACATAACAGTAGTAAGAGGCAACTACCAATTTGAGGACAACATTAGCAATAAAGTCCCATCATTAGATAATGTCCTATATCGATGTAGGTATGTGATGGCATCACTACCGCCAAATTGAACTTACCTTGGAGAGGTCTGAAAACTTACCTCGACCCACCTCCGAGCCGCCCGTGGGCGGGTGGGATAATACTCGCCGCTGTGTCTTTAATAAAATCATGACTTTCCGTCATGATAATTGTAAAACCCTTGAATTTTATTAAAGACCCGGAGGCTCCTATTATGCTATTTCAAACCGTTTATATCACGGCTTCTGCGAAGTGCTGGATTGGTTTGAAATAGAAATGACGGAAAGAAGATTCTGCGGACCAATCAGCCGCCTTGAATATATCTTCCAAACGACAACCCGCAAACGAGGCTTTAGAGGCCATGGCGCCACAGACCAAATGAGGAGAAAATATAGAGGTATCAATACCTGCTAAGGACATGAGCCATTTGACCCAGCGTGCCAAGGCAGGAGAGGATACTGGGGCATGTGGTTTACGGAAGGAGATGAAGAGTTGGGGTTCCGAACCAGACCGAAGGGATGCAGTACGAGCTTCGTACGCCCTAAGACACGCTACTGGGCAAAGGAGCGGCTTTGTGGGAAAAGTTGGATACAGGACCGACCTGGAGGAAGATTTCGTCCTCCGTGTTATGTCAAAAACAACTCCTTCTGGGGTGAAGGATCGGGCATTGACATCGAGAGCTCTAACGTCTGACACTCTTTTGCATGAGATTAGGCACAACAGCATAACTGGTTTAGCTGAGTTGTTTTAAGGATAAAGACTCATTGTCTGGCCACCTAGTCAGGAATTTCAATACCAGGGAGACGTCCCATAGGGAGGAATAGCGAGGTAGGAGTGGCCTTGCAAAGCGAATGCCTCAGAGAAGACGACAAACCAATGCATGTCGTCCTACCGGGGCCCCGTCAATGCCGGTATGGCCGGCTGAGATAGCTGATCGGTAGAGGTTTATCGTCCTGTAAGCTTTCCCATTATCATAAAGGGAGGTTAAGAATTGTAGGACTGTTGTCACAGGAGTTGCTAGGGGATCCACACCCCGTGCCACGCACCAACCATCCCATGCGCGCCAAGCAGACTTGTAAGACTGTCTCGTGCCGGGTGCCCATGCGCCCTCGAGAAGTCAGAGAGTCGATTGCGAAACTCCTGCGATTGACCAGGGTCCACGGAGATCAACCACTCCATGAGGCGGAGGAGACCCTGAAGGATCAGGGGGTGGGGGGTCCCATCGGGGTCCCGTAGGAGAGATTGGGCATCCAGGAGGAGCCGCGGGTGATCTATGGCCATCTCCAGCAGAGGAGGAAACCAAGGCTGCGACGGCCAAAGGGGGGTTATTATAACCAGGCAGCCCAATTGGCGTTGTAGATTGAGGAGGCAACGAGGGATAAGGGCGAATGGAGGAAATGCATAGTTCCTGGTGGTTGACCAGTCTTGGGAGAATGCATTCGTAGCCGAAGCCGTAGGGTCTGGCCTCCAACTGAAGAAGGTCGGAAGTTGGGTATTCAAGCGAGAGGCAAATAAGTCTATTGCCAGAGGACCCCACAGATCCCAAATGCGCTGGAAGATTTTGGGATCGAGGTGCCAGTCGCTGGAATCCCGCAGGTGGCGGGAGTACCAATCTGCCGTAGTGTTGGACAACCCCGGCAAATATTCCGCCTTGACAGCTATGTTGTGGTGCAGACAAAACTGCCAAAAGTCTCGAGCCAGATTCGCTAGAATTTTGGATCTCGTACCACCCAGGTGGTTGATATAGCGGACAGCCGATATGTTGTCCATCTTCAGTAAAATTGAACACTGGGACAGTGTCGGGGAAAGGCTGCGAATCGCAAAGGACCCTGCTAGGAATTCTACGCAATTTATATGCAGCATGGATTCCTCTTCCAACCATTGTCCGCCTGTGGAGATATCTCCGCAGCGCTCACCCCAACCGTAAAAGCTGGCGTCCGATTCTATGACTACGTCTGGGGCCGAGCCGAAGATGGCTCTGCCATTCCACGCTTCCATGTGTAGGAGCCACCAGTGGTATGACGCCTGTAGGCGCTGGAGGGCTCTGTAATGAAGGGGGCCCGGAAATATGGCCTGTATGGAGGCTGCTATGAGCCCTAACCCGGCACACAGAGGGTTAATTTATACTATAATGAGGGAGAGATTAATGAGCTCCCTGGCACACAGAGGGTTAATTTATACTATAACGAGGGAGAGATTAATGAGCTCCCTGGCACACAGAGGGTTAATTTATACTATAACGAGGGAGAGATTAATGAGCTCACAGAAGGTTAATTTATACTATAACGAGGGAGAGATTAATGAGCTCCCTGGCTCACAGAGGGTTAATTTATACTATAACGAGGGAGAGATTAATGAGCTCACTGGCTCACAGAGGGTTAATTTATACTATAACGAGGGAAAGATTAATGAGCTCCCTGGCACACAGAGGGTTAATTTATACTATAATGAGGGAGCGATTAATGAGCTCACTGGCACACAGATTGTTAATTTATACTATAATGAGGGAGAGATTAATGCGCTCACTGGCACACAGAGGGTTAATTTATACTATAATGAGGGAAAGATTAATGACCTCCCTGGCTCACAGAGGGTTAATTTATACTATGATGAGGGAAAGGTTAATGTGCTCACTGGCTCACAGAGGGTTAATTTATAGTATAATGCGGGAGAGATTAATGAGCTCAACCCTCTGTGTGCCAGTGAGCACATTAAGCTCTCCCTCATTATAGCATAAATTAACCCTCTGTGTGCCAGTTAGCTCATTAATCTCTCTCTCATTATAGTATAAATTAACCCTCTGTGTGCCAGTGAGCACATTAATCTCTCCCTCATTATAGTATAAATTAACCCTCTGTGTGCCAGGGAGCAGATTAATCTCTCCCTCATTATAGTATAAATTAACCCTCTGTGTGCCAGGGAGCACATTCATCTCTCCCTCATTATAGTATAAATTAACCCTCTGTGTGCCAGTGAGCTCATTCATCTCTCTCTCATTATAGTATAAATTAACCCTCTGTGTGCCAGGGAGCTCATTAACCTCTCCCTCATTATAGTATAAATTAACCCTCTGTGTGCCAGGGAGCACATTAACCTCGCTCTCATTATAGTATAACTTAACCATCTGTGAGCCAGTGAGCTCATTAATCTCTCCCTCATTATAGTATAAATTAACCCTCTGTGTGCCAGGCAGCACATTAACCTCTCCCTCATTATAGTATAAATTAACCCTCTGTGTGCCAGGGAGCACATTAATCTCGCCCTCATTATAGTATAAATTAACCATCTGTGAGCCAGTGAGCTCATTAATCTCTCCCTCATTATAGTATAAATTAACCCTCTGTGTGCCAGTGAGCTCATTAATCTCTCCCTCATTATAGTATAAATTAACCCTCTGTGTGCCAGTGAGCTCATTAATCTCTCCCTCATTATAGTATAAATTAACCCTCTGTGTGCCAGTGAGCTCATTAATCTCTCTCTCGTTATAGTATAAATTAACCCTCTGTGTGCAAGTGAGCACAGTAGTCTCTCCCTCGTTATAGTATAAATTAACCCTCTGTGTGCCAGTGAGCGCATTAATCTCTCCCTCGTTATAGTATAAATTAACCCTCTGTGTGCCAGGGAGCTCATTAATCTCTCCTTCATTATAGTATAAATTAACCCTCTGTGTGCCAGTGAGCTCATTAACCTCTCCCTCATTATAGTATAAATTAACCCTCTGTGTGCCAGGGAGCACATTAATCTCTTCCTCATTATAGTATAAATTAACCCTCTGTGTGCCAGGGAGCTCATTAATCTCTCCCTCGTTATAGTATAAATTAACCCTCTGTGCGCCAGGGAGCTCATTAACCTCTCCCTCATTATAGTATAAATTAACCCTCTGTGTGCCATGGAGCACAGTAGTCTCTCCCTCATTATAGCATAAATTAACCCTCTGTGTGCCAGTGAGCGCATTAATCTCTCCCTCGTTATAGTATTAATTAACCCTCTGTGTGCCAGGGAGCTCATTAATCCCTCCCTCATTATAGTATAAATTAACCCTCTGTGTGCCAGTGAGCGCATTAATCTCTCCCTCATTATAGTATAAATTAACCCTCTGTGTGCCAGTGAGCTCATTAACCTCTCCCTCATTATAGTATAAATTAACCCTCTGTGTGCCAGGAGCTCATTAACCTCTCCCTCGTTATAGTATAAATTAACCCTCTGTGTGCCAGGGAGTGCATTAAGCTCTCCCTCGTTATAGTATAAATTAACAATCTGTGAGCCAGGGAGCACATTAATCTCTCCCTCGTTATAGTATAAATTAACCCTCTGTGTGCCAGGGAGCTCATTAATCTCTCCCTCGTTATAGTATAAATTAACCCTCTGTGTGCCACATTAATCTCTCCCTCGTTATAGTATAAATTAACCCTCTGTGTGCCAGGGAGCTCATTAATCTCTCCCTCGTTATAGTATAAATTAACCCTCTGTGTGCCAGGGAGCACATTAATCTCTCCCTCGTTATAGTATAAATTAACCCTCTGTGTGCCAGGGAGCTCATTAATCTCTCCCTCGTTATAGTATAAATTAACCCTCTGTGTGCCAGGGAGCTCATTAATCTCTCCCTCGTTATAGTATAAATTAACCCTCTGTGTGCCAGGGAGCACATTAATCTCTCCCTCGTTATAGTATAAATTAACCCTCTGTGTGCCAGGGAGCTCATTAATCTCTCCCTCGTTATAGTATAAATTAACCCTCTGTGTGCCAGGGAAGGACATTAATCTCTCCCTCGTTATAGTATAAATTAACCCTCTGTGTGCCAGGGAGCACATTAATCTCTCCCTCGTTATAGTATAAATTAACC